TATTAAAAAAAAAAATAAATGTTTCAATAACATAACTGATTATGTTACTGATTCTTATAATAAAATTGAAATGAATATGTATATTTGAAAAAAGTTGGTAAAAGATAAAAATTTAATTGTTTAAATAATTTATTTTTATAGAAATATTTAACTATATAAAATACAATTTTAAAATATCAATTTCTTTCTATTTCTCACTTAATTTCATTCTAAATCTCACTTTATTTTCTATCAAATCAATTTTTACTTATTCCTTTCGATGGAGAATTATTGTAGTAAAAAGTATGCATTTTTGCGGGTGGCTTAATAGAAGGAAGTTTTCTCAAAGCAAGGGATTCTCATATGTAGTAGCTGTTACCCTTGGACTATGCATCCTTGGCTGACTGCCCCAAAATGCTAATTACTCTGTCATACTATTTTTTGTAGGTATTTCATGTATTGAGGCTGGGAGAAGGACAGGATATCACTGCTCTGGCTCTAAACAAGGATAACACAAATCTTTTGGTTTCTACTTCGGATAAACAATTGATAATATTCACTGATCCAGCTGTAAGTTAAATCTTTATTTTCAAATATCAATGGTTCTTGAAGTGAAGGTTTTTTATTTTTTGTTTTTTCCCGACTCATAAATCGGTAAACAGGACAAACTTTCATATATTTGACTTGTAGTCTAGTTTCTTAAAAGTTCACGTTATTAGGACTCACTAGTTCAAGTGCACTTTATTAGGAACCACTAGTTGGGTTTTTGAAAAATCCAAACTGAATTGAACTGATTCATTTTATAAAAATAGATTTATTAACTGAATTATTTTTATAAAGTGGATTAGTTCAACTTTTTTTAAAAAATATATCAAATTTTTTAAAATTGGACCGGTTTTGCGTAGTTTGGTCATCTATTTTATATTCATGTTTTAAAAAAAAATCAAAAAAACTGAATTGATCCACTATATAAGAATAGTTTGGTTAATCAAACCCTTTTTGTAAGGGGAATTGGTTCATTTTTTTTTTTCTCAAACAGATCAGATTTTATAATCTTGATTGGATCGGTTTGGATTTATTCCAAAATCCTGGGCAGTTGGCATATTTTGATATTTTTGTGTCTCTCGGGAGCCAATGGCGCAGAATCAAAGTATTCTGTCTTTTACACTAATGACCTTAAATGGTGTGGAATTTCCATTATTCTACTTAAAACTCCTTAGATGTATTTGGTTTTGATTCTTCGACAAAAGGTTCCCTCCCAGGACCGAGACTACATCAGAAGTTTAGGTGATAGCAGACCTCGATGAGATGTGAATTTTTAATGTGCATGAAAACCATAAAATATTATACCTACAGTCTCTCAATTATGCCTCCAATTGGTTCTTTCGTTTTTTGTTCGACGCCACCAATTGTTCTGATGCCTAAACTGTTCCATTCAATGGCTATTAATATTTAATACTGTTACTTATTGTTTGCAGTTAAGCTTGAAAGTGGTGGATCAAATGCTCAAGCTTGGCTGGGAAGGTGATGGGCTTCAGCCTCTAATAAAATCATAGCTTTTAGGGTATACATTAATGGGTTACAGATCTTCTACACATATCAGTTAGGAAAATTAGGTTGAGGTTATGATACATTTGTAAGCATTTTGATTGAGAGATGTCTTGTGGCATATGTAACATCCTATCATTACCACTAGTGTTAGATTCCTTAGATTTAGCAGAGGGTTCTTCGCTACTCCAGTTGTGCTATAGTGTTGATATTGGACAAGTTTTTGAGGTTTGAGCCTTTTTTGTCCCACAATTTTTTTATTATAGAGAATGGAAATATAATAGGTATTCTTTATTGTAATACTGCTGCTTTTCAGATGTTGCGATTGATTGAGATTTTGAGGTTTGAGTCGTCCATGTTTGTTAATATAACCAAATTTCAATTGTTGTTTTTTTTAATTTCTCTTATATTCAACTTCATGAATCGACGTTAACGTTGCCAACAAGTATAAACTCTGCTAGGTAGATGAAAATTTGTTGTAGTCTCGATTTTTTTATGATCGTTTGTTATTGAGACATTTGTAAAATAATAAACGCTATTGTTCCTATGAAGCAGGAGTGTGTTGCTTGTCGCCATTTTTTATTTTGTTTTTCATTTGTTTCCCGTAAGAAAAATTCTAGTCTCTTTTGCCAGGTTTGTCCGTAAAATTTATTGGAAAAAAAAATAAATTACAGCTATCAAAATAGGAAGAAAAAATTGTAGGGACCACGAAAATTAAAATAATATATATTTTATACGCACTAAATGAATATTTACATTAAAATTATAAAAGTTAAGCTTTTTAAACATGATAGTAGGTAAGCAAAAAAATTGAACTGAACTTGTGGTGAATTGAATTAAATTGTACTATAAAAAATTGAACTATTTGTAAAAAAAAATTAAACTGAACTGTACTAAATTATAAAAATTAAACTATAGGGTATACATTAATGGGTTACAGATCTTCTACACATATCAGTTAGGAAAATTAGGTTGAGGTTATGATACATTTGTAAGCATTTTGATTGAGAGATGTCTTGTGGCATATGTAACATCCTATCATTACCACTAGTGTTAGATTCCTTAGATTTAGCAGAGGGTTCTTCGCTACTCCAGTTGTGCTATAGTGTTGATATTGGACAAGTTTTTGAGGTTTGAGCCTTTTTTGTCCCACAATTTTTTTATTATAGAGAATGGAAATATAATAGGTATTCTTTATTGTAATACTGCTGCTTTTCAGATGTTGCGATTGATTGAGATTTTGAGGTTTGAGTCGTCCATGTTTGTTAATATAACCAAATTTCAATTGTTGTTTTTTTTAATTTCTCTTATATTCAACTTCATGAATCGACGTTAACGTTGCCAACAAGTATAAACTCTGCTAGGTAGATGAAAATTTGTTGTAGTCTCGATTTTTTTATGATCGTTTGTTATTGAGACATTTGTAAAATAATAAACGCTATTGTTCCTATGAAGCAGGAGTGTGTTGCTTGTCGCCATTTTTTATTTTGTTTTTCATTTGTTTCCCGTAAGAAAAATTCTAGTCTCTTTTGCCAGGTTTGTCCGTAAAATTTATTGGAAAAAAAAATAAATTACAGCTATCAAAATAGGAAGAAAAAATTGTAGGGACCACGAAAATTAAAATAATATATATTTTATACGCACTAAATGAATATTTACATTAAAATTATAAAAGTTAAGCTTTTTAAACATGATAGTAGGTAAGCAAAAAAATTGAACTGAACTTGTGGTGAATTGAATTAAATTGTACTATAAAAAATTGAACTATTTGTAAAAAAAAATTAAACTGAACTGTACTAAATTATAAAAATTAAACTAAATTATAAAAATTGAACTATTTTTATAAAATGATAAAAATTAAATGTGTCTAACATGTTCTGTCTTAATGGATTAGTTCGATAGTTTAATAACCATAATTTTGGGGGAAAAAAGTGATCCGGAAAAAATTTATCAATTTTGTCGAACTTAACAGATCAATTGAGCTATGTTGAATGGCTTATTTTTAGGCTTAAAATTCACTGAGTTTGTTTGAGTCAATTTTACATTTTTTTCCTTTGAAAAATGTAAATAAAATGGAAAATAAAGTAAAGTTGGAAAATGTGTCGTATCTTGACAAACTAATGAGTCAAAATTGTTCAATTCAAAATATCATAACAATCCAGTACAATTTAAATTGCAGTTCAGTTCAAGTTTTTATAATATAGTTTAGTTCAATGACACAAAAAAAATAGTTCAGTTCAGTTCGTCTGAATTAATATTCAATTTAGTTCAGTTCATGAGAACTATTTTAAGTTCAGTATAATTTTTATAAGTTCAGTTCATATTGACAGATACATTGAAAGAAAGCAGAAAAATTAAACCTGCAACAAATATACTAGTGAGTTAAAAAATTATTAAAAATAATCTTAAACATAAGCTTCCCAAAATCATGTAATGAAGCAATTATCTTTTAAGTTATAAAAAAATCTGTATATTCCTTGAGTAAATTTACCTAAACTTATTTTATTTAATAATTCATGTTTATATTAAGTTTTTAATGCATAAATCAAATTTATAAATTTTTAAATAATTTAATTTAATACTTTATTTTATTAATTCAAATCAGCGTATAAAATAATTTTATAATTATCGTCAATTGTAATTAATGAAATAAAATATTAAATAATTTTTAAATTTTTTTAAAAAATTTATAAACTTGATTTATGTATTAAAAAATTTTAATTTAATGATTAAATCGTTAAAATTTGATATAAAACTCGAACTATTAAATCCCTCATTTAAAAAAATATAAACTATAATCTCTATTTTTTGTATTTGTTGAATACCAATATATCATATACACACTTATTTATTATATGCATTTTATTTATGTATAATGTCAATAAATTAATGACATAATATCCAATCATTCAAAAATAAATCATAATTTATAATAAAACAACATTAAAAACAGTTATAAATCAATCAAACAATATTAGAGACACAAAGTTCTAATTATTTAGCATATTAATTGACAAGAAGAATGGAAATAGTTCCGTCATGCAAAACTTTGGAGGACCTGATTATGGCCTACAAGATATCCACTGAGCCTAAATTTGTTTGTTTACTTATTATTGGTTCTTTTTAAGGTCAAATTTTACCTGTTTAAAAGTTTGACTAACCTGAAAACTTGTTTGTGTAACTTATACAAGATTTATAAAACAAACTTGTAGATATAAGCAATAAGTCTTGTTCATTATTTAAATTATTCATTTTTTATATGTAATGGTTGTATCGAGACATTTAAACTTAGGATTTTTAATATATTACTTCAATTTTTCACTATTATATTAACTCTACCAATTCTTATTCATACTCTATAAAGATTAATAAATAATAATAATAATAATAATAATAATAATAA